CCCCCCCCCCCAGGTGTGCGCCGTTGGCACCGCAGCTGTTTCTGCCCCACAGATCGATGGGCGGCAGCGCGGCTATGGGGCCAACGGCCCCACTGCTCCCCAGTGACCCCAGGTGTCCCCACTGACCCCAAATGTCCCCATTGCCTCCGTTGCCCCCGGTGCCCCCCAATGTCCCCCATTGACACCTGTTGCCCCCCAATGTCCCCAGTGTCCCCATGTGCACAGAGCTGTGTGCAGTGTCCCCATGTCCTGTTGGCATCCCACTGATATTCGCCACCCATCATTTCACATTCATTTCCACCCATCCATTTCCCATCCATTTCCCATTCATTTCCCATTCATTTCCCATTCATTTCCCATTCATTTCCACCCATCCATTTCCCATCCATTTCCCATCCATTTCCCATTCATTTCCACCCATCATTTCCCATTCGTTTCCCATTCGTTTCCCGGTTCCTTTGGGCCCCATTCAGGATCTCCCCCATTGGGGTCCTCATTCGAGGTCTCATTTAGGACCAAATCTGGGAGCAATTTGGGATCACACCCAGCTCCTCATTTGGTGCCACTTTTGGGACCCCATTTCAGCCCCCATTTCAGACCCCACTTCGCACCCATTTTTGATCCATTCGGTCCCATTTCAGGCTCCATTTCTGCCCTCCTTTCAGACCCCATTTAGGGCCGCTTTTGGGGCCACATTCGGTCCCCGTTTCAGCCCCCATTTCTGGCCCTATTCGGACCCATCCTGAGCCCCTTTGGGGCGGTCGCACAACGGTTGCACAACGGCTGGCGGCGCCGCGCGCCATTTGCCTTTGTTTGTGCCCCCCCCCCATGCACGGTGTTGCACAACCGCTGCTGTCCCCACACGTGTGGGCACACGGCCGGCCTCGTGAGCACATGGGGGGGGGGGGGGGGGGGCAGTCCCACATCCTCGTCACCATGTCACCGATCCTCGTGCAAAGCCCAAAGTGTGGGGCAGTGTTTGGGTCTGGTTGGGGGGGGGCGCACAAATCCTTGTGGGCGGCACCGAATCCTGGTGAGTTCACACCTGTGGGTCCTAAAAGCCCGGCGTGTCACCAATGCGGTGTCCCCATAGCGCTGTGCCCCATAGCACTGTGCCCCATAGCGCTGTGCCCCATAGCACTGCCCCATAGCGCTGTGCCCCATAGCGCTGTGCCCCATAGCACTGCCCCACAGCTCTGTGCCCCACATATGTTGCTGTTGGTGCTGCAGCTGCACTGGCGCTGCTGGGGCTGATGTC